GTCAAAACGTTACGTGACGGATATCCTTTGCTATTTTCATTTGAATGAAGTGGCGACATCGTTTCTTATATATTTCAGGTCAATCATCTGTCAAATTGACAGGTAATTAAGTATGAAAATATGCTTCCTTATTGATCGTTAATTCAATCGTAATTACTAAAATATTTCATAACATAGGAAGTTGGCGTAAAACCAATATTGTAAAAGTCTGCGCCATTTATATTGTAACAGTTATATAGGTTTTAGTAACGATAAACAGAAACAGCACTAAGCCTTATATTAAAAGGTTTATATGATAACTGAAATTCAGGAAGCTTATTTTTTGCTAAAAATAACCTTTCGCCAAAAAGGCATTATAATATAATATTATAACTTACATTGTGATTTGTGACTAAATAGCATGCATAAAGCTATCAGAATACCAATAGAATATCGAATGTTAAAACCATTCTAAATGATTTATCTTATATGTAATACCTTTATTGTTCTTTGCTTAGTTTAGTTTTATATTAACGATTTAAGAGCTTTATAAAACGGAAAAAACTATTCTGTTGTGTGTGTATAAACTTGTACTGTATATTTCTACTAAAATAGACATTTATGCAACATTTTTAGGCTGAGTTACTGTTTCTTTTAAAGTGGTAAGGTGATTTCTGTAAGCAAACCTATAAATATATAGCTAAAATCAACAACAATTTCACATGGACATAGAATACGCGACGTTGTCACGGCGTCCATTTATTATTCAACAATAATACAGAACTAAAACGGTTTTAGGTGCTCGCTAACACCATTTTAACGCGTTTGTTTTATTGTCATCCGGTTTCGAAAGCTAGATAAAGCACGTGTTGATAGCTTGAGCACACAAGATAAATATTTTAGGAAAGATTTTTATGGTATAGATATGTTTTGTATAAATATTGCATCATTATATTACACACTTGCTGACTTGTATTATGATTATAAAGTTAATACGGCAGCGTCAAGTCAAAGAGATGTTTTTCGTTTCAATTTCATAGGATTGAGAAAAATATTATGTATTTTGACTAATACTAACGACTGACCCTGCTTTTCGCTCGTGGTAGGTTAAAAAAGATAAAAATGGTTATTCTGAGTGTACTTTAGGAAATACATTTTAGGACTTACAATTTTCTAGTACTCATACATTGTTTTGATGTACCTCTAAGGTTTAGCCAGAGTTATTCATGTAAGCGTATGAAAATAGTTTTTTTTTTGACAAAAAATACTGTAACTAAATTTTCGAAAATAATTAGTTTACTTACTATTAAATCGTTGATGTAAATAAATTTATAAATCAGTGTATCAAATGAATATTTTTCACCGCAGTACAAAATAAGAGTGGGCTAAAGCCTAAAGAGAACTTTATTTCCAAGCTTTTTGTCAAAGCAGATTTTGAGCGTGTCAACGCGGCTTATTAATGTATTGCTCAACCATGACATCTTGTCAAATTATATTATTTGTAATTTTTGTATATTTCCAAATGATTTTACATTGAAATCTTGATATAATAAATTGAAATAAAACAAATTAAATATTGTGGTTCGCAAATTATTCACACTCAATTCCCGCGTTCATTTCCTGTTATAAAATATTTCAACTTACATTATGTAGTATGCACTTAATTCAAATCAATTCATAACTTATATAGACATAAGAACTTTTAATTTCTCAAGAGAATTAAAACAATGAAGTGTTAACACGAATATTATATCAGTTATAAACCACATACACATGGATTTATTTTCATCTGATATGAACGTTGAAAAAGGGGGGTTATTTTTAGCAGTTAAATACGTTATAATAGGCTTTTGATAAATTCTAGCAAAGTAAATAGTTTTCTAAATAAATATGACAATTTCAAATGCTATACTAAATTCATTCTTTATGAATTAATAATAAATTATTATTTTTAATTAAGGCTAATTTATTCCCATCTTCAAGTATTTATTTTTTCATTTACTAAAATAAATGTTACAAAATAATGATATAAAAGGTAACATAAGTAAAACATATTCCCGACATACTCTGGCTTCGCTCATACATACTCAGGACATTCATATAATACATATATTCGATACATACATCTATATGAATATAAAAACACCTAAATAAATTTCCTACAAGTGTACCTCCATATTGCACTTTATAAATTTTAAATTAGTTATATACAACTTGACTCATGCACCACCTCTTTTTATATTGCTAGTTGATTGTATTATGCTAGAAAATTTTGCATGTAAGAAAGAGCAAGAGTACAACACCGTTTTTTTTAATTGTTTTAAATTAGAAAAATTATTACAATAAGATTACATTCTTTCGGAATATATTAATGTTACAGATTATTTCAAACATTTGAATGTTATTATACAGATTTAAAGACTCAAGTGACAACAACCCTGGAGATTGTTATAAAAATTGCTTCAGAGTCATTACACCTTAAAACTAATTCTCTATAATATAGCCTATGTTTTAAACAGGCAAACAAAAATATAGGTAATATTGAAAGTAAAAAAAAATCACATATCAAACAAATATCAGGTAAGATATGAAGATATAAAGATACAACATACACAGTACCTATATCAATAAAATAAATAAATTGTTTATTCAACGATTTTATGAAATAAACTATTGTGAAATTAGTTTGAGAATTAATCCATGACATATGTATTTTGAATTTTCAGAACATTCAGGTGATGGCTACTTGGATTTGCTACTCAGTACAAAACTCAGTTTTATAATAAAAATATAGGTATGCTGTTTTTGTATATATGATAGTTTTTTTCTTATCATCTATTCTTTACTGCAAATGACTTGAATTCTATATACATTATAAAAATCAATTGCTAAAACTTAAAAATGGCTGGACCAATTTGAATAATTCTTTTTTTTGTTTTGTTGGGGGTATTTCAGGGGTGGTTTAAATATAAAAAAATAGATAAATCCAAAAGAACAGCTGAAAAATTGAAAAGTTCAGAACTGTTTATTTTGCATGGGAATCACTAACAGTTAAAAAATACATAGGGACAAACCCAAGCATATCTAGGGTGAGTTTATTATAAGAATACTGTCAGGTTTATAACCTTTATAAAGAATTCTTTATAAAGAATTAAAGATTATCATACTTAAATATAACTTATTTATGGTTGATGACCTCACCATTTAAAAATATTTAAGACTTTTCTATAAAATAATAATTTTATAAATAAATCTAGTCCAATTTTGATTGTTGAAGTATGAAATTGAGAAACTTCACAATTATAAAAAGAAAGTAAATAAAAAAGTTTATCATTTAACATAACTCCTTTTGTTACTTTTTGTTTACATAGCATAAAGAATTAAATAAACAAAGACGGCAGAAATAAAACTGTACTTGATATTCAATTGTATGCACGCAAATCGATAAATCAAGGTTGAACTAAATGCATCTTGAAATTTCGAATGTAAACAATAAATTATGTTATTGCGTTAAATTTTAAGTTGATAGGGTTTAACAACTATTTTATAAATAGCTATCGTCTATCTTATGACAGTAATAAAATTAAATGTTAGTTCTTTAATTGTCAAAACTGCAATAAAACAAGTACTTACCCGGCGACAGGTGTACCGTGTAGCAATGCAACACAAATTCCAACACGATAATCATACATTGATAAATTTAAGCACTGTTAACTTAACACATCATACACTTCATCGAAGATACTTAATTCAGCCTTTAGAGTTTAGACAAAAATTCATTCCGTAAACATATTTTAATTTTCTTGTAGAAATGGAACTACCTATTTAATTTGCAAACCGCCCGTACTGCACGCATATATTGCACTTTTACGACTACTTTATATAGAGGGTAACGACAGCGATACGATTCAACAAACACTTTTTACTTATTATATTACAATATGAAAGAATATAGTTGTTAGAATTCAATAAAAAGATTTATGTATTTTTTTAGTAAAAATTATTTAAAAATAATACTTTATAAAACTTAATTGAATTAAAATTTACATTTTGACATTCTTATCAAATCGTGCCGTGTAAAGAGTAAACCTAATAGGGCTGTGCCTTTGCAATCTGCATAGTATATAAAATTGTCTATGGATTTGTATTGTAGTATCAAAAACTGAAATTAAACTAAAATCTGACCAATAAAACCCTATAAACAATAACAGATTTAAAATATGAAATAAAAGTTAAATTTTAATTTTTGACCTAGGTAAAAAGCTATATTATATCCGTGTATATCCATACTAATATTATAATTGTAAAAGAGTGTTTGTTTGTCCTTCATTCACGTCAAAACAGAGAGACGAATTGTCGTAATTTTTTGAGTGGAGATAGTATGAGGACTGGAGAGTGACATAGGCTACTTTTTACTCCGGGAGATTGACTCCTTCTCACGGGAAAACGTTATTTATGGGGCATTTCACGTAAAGCGGACAGCGGAAAAAAAGTGAAGTTCTGGAATTTATTCTTAATAGGCATATTTGTACATCTAGATTCTAGGGTATATGAACATGTACACATAATATTTTTTTATTTGAAGACGTTTAGTTGTCAAGTTATAAGATTCCTAAGAATTGATCAAAGTGAAGAAAGGGTTTTTTGAATTCTTTTTTCATATTCAAGTACCTAATTAGAAATAAAACAATTAATGTAGTGTTTTGTATAGAAAATTTATGTACTGTTCTTTTTGATTTTTTACTTTTTAGTCAGATTCACACACACACACACACTCAACAAACATACAAGCTCACAATTGGCTGAATATTAGTAAAATGGATTCAACCATTTTGTTATTTTTATTATTATGTGATGCCAAAAAATCTTTTTTTTGACCTTTCGATTTTCGATTCGATAGATCATTTAGAAATTGTGTTATTGTTTAATATTATCATCATAATCTTGTAGTTTCATAATAAGAACTTCATTTATTTTTTTAACTACTTTAATTTTTCTTAAAATAACTATCAATTATTCTATCCAAGTTGAGGCTTCGGAGTAGTAAATGTGCGTTTTCTAGACATCTTTTTACGGGAAACCCTCATTTGTTGCAACTGATTGTAGACTTCACTCCAGATTTCAGACTGATCTTCAACTGGTATGGTTTTTCTAAAACACAAAAATAAACAAATTGATGTTACGGGATGAGTAAGTATTATTTATATACTACATTTACATACATAATACAAATATAAAAAAAATGCATTTAGCTTGCTTTCACCTGTATTGTTTCATTAAATCAAATTTCTCCCAAGGTGTTTTTCTTAATTCTCTTCGGACTCGATCTTTTTCCTTCAAATGTTCTTCAATATTTGATATTCCTTTCAATTCCTGTCTTTCCCATCTTTCTAACCAAGGCCTTGGTTTTAGTTTTACCTAATTCAAAATATATGCATATTGTTATGAATTTACAGAGTTTGTAGTAAATATAGTAATATTATTAAATTAGTGAACTTTAACATATTTTTATTTGCTTATAAGTTATAAATGCCTTATTTAAATGCTTTTTGTCCAACATAAAATTGGTGTTTATATATCATATGGATGACTTACATGTACCATACTAGATATTACATTAAAAATAAATAGGTACCTGGACTGGATTGATAGGTACTGGTGTTCCTTCGGGCAATATTTCAGGATCCATATCCAAAGAAAATGTGCAGTATTCAGGCAATGCATCTCTTAAGTATAATAATTTATCATCCAGACGTTTTTCCAAACGAAGCACTTGTATATTTTGTATTGTGGGATCATATAGGTCATAACGAATCTGAAATTTATCATAGATACATATTATACTTATAATTTTATTATTAAAAAATTATTGTCATCTAAGCTAATGAAAAATATATGTTTTATTTACATCAGATTCAGATGATAAATATTGCTATAAAATGTTTGTAGTCAATAAGTTACCTCTATTCCTTGATGATCAATAACATTTCTTAATGTAAACTCAGCTCTTAAACCACAGCCTTTTCTCTCAATACAAATACCAACAAATCTATTAGTTTTGCCTTGAGCATGTGGATCTGATATTGTAACTGCTAAGATAGAACCTTCAAAAAACATTGAAATATTTACATTTTAAGTGTTTTATAATATCTTTGATATAAGTTTTTGACTATTAAAGTCGAAATAAAGTTTCACATAAATTCACTTACTTATATCAATTTTGTTGTAATAAATTTAAATATAATTATAGAATTTAAAATTTTATCAGTTAACAGAAAAAAGTGAAGGAATACTTATTCACTAACCAACATAAAATTCTGGTAAATCAATTTGGTTTCTTCTTTTCAACATGTCTGCTCTTTCCAACTTTTCACGAAGGCTGTTTCTCCATTTCGGATTGGGATCTGGAAGGAATTCTGGATAAACATGTCGATACTCTAAGATCGGATTATGTGACCGTGGTCTGCGTCCTGAAATTCTTTCTTTCTCAACATCAGCGGGCAATTCTGCTTTCTCAGGTAAAGATGATAATAATCGACAGTCTGCAATAAGGCACATATTATTACCGTAAATTCACTCGATAGTTACAATATTTATAATTTAAAACTAATACTAACCTCTCGTGACAACCCATTTAGTTGCACTAAATATATCAAGAGCTGATTTGCGCATTACTAATGACATTTTGCGTTTTATGATGTTTCACTTTTATAAGTAAATCTTTTAATATGAAAATATACAGGTTATTCGTAAAAAGAATTCAATTCAGTAAAAACATTTTTATCTCATGACGTTTGACATTTAAATTTTAACTTGTAAGCAGGGATGTAAAATATAATCGATTTATATATTAATCGATTATTTTTCTTATAAGCGATTTTAACAATCGATTTACTAAATATTAAAAATCGATTTTTAATGAATCGATTATATTACTTACTCTCTTCGTTTTAAAAGTAAAAAAGATAAGATACGAGTATGCGTGGTTGGCTTAAACCAATGTAGCCAAACTACACATTATATCGTTTTCTTTTATATACATTTCAATAAAATGTTAAATAGTACTAAAAATTAGCAGCAATCATTTTATTCAGTTTCCTCATAATATTTAATTTGAAAAAAAACTTGTTGTTTTAGTTATCTACTTGGTAATATTATTATTATGTACAAAAAAATGCAAGTTTTTAAATAGTTCGATGAAATCAATTATTTTTGGATAATAAATTTATTACAAACCAATATATTTTAATGTGATAAAAATCGATTATTTAGTAATTGATTTTTTTCTCTCCAAGTGACATCCCTACTTTTAAGTCATTTTAGAAGGACTTATAGTAAATGTAAATGTAGCCCATTTTTATTTGTCATCCATGGTAGCCCATGCTTAGAGTTAGATACTTTGCAATTTGCATCTACGGAGTAAGCTGCTCGTTTTGAATAAGATATTTCTAATGTTAAGATTTATTTTATACATTTATAATTAATTAAAAGGCAACCAGCCATGTAAACATAATATATAAATACAACATAATTAAAGTAATATATTTCCTTATACTATATAAGCTCAAAACTGTACATCTCTTTATGGTACCTATTCCAATTTTTTCAACGGATATAACCATTTATTTGAGCATTGAAAGGCATTGAAAAAAAATATTATATCATTTTATTTATAAAATGAACTTGAAATAGGTACCGAATATACGTTTTGAAGGGAAACTAAAGATAGGGTACCGAATATAATAGAGTAAAATTATTTAAAATGTGTACATTTTGCACCATTTGACGTCTGTCAAATTTATAAACACATTATCGATTAAAAGTGTGACCTCAATATTATTTCTGCCCAAAACTTAATAAAACATGTCCTCCTTAATACAAAAATGTAACGATGATAATATCCCTCTGGCTGATGACGATCCACAAGTTATAATAACTGATGATGTAGATAATCGTTTGGACCATGGAAGGTCGATGGATTCTCTTCCAAGTTCCTATACAGGAGGTTCTTCAAGCCCTGGATTAAATGGACCTGCCAGTTTTGAACCAGATTCCGGCATCGATGAACAGGAAGAAAAAGCGCGCTTGATATCCCAGGTTTTAGAACTACAAAATACTTTGGATGGTAACTATTAAATCATTGTTTAATTTATTTTGTGTTATGTTGTTTCAGTGTATTTGTTACATATATAATGTTTCCTGCCATCATCATATGATAATTGCATTTATTAATTTCAGATTTGTCCCAAAGAGTGGATTCAGTGAAAGAAGAAAATTTAAAGTTACGCTCAGAAAACCAGGTCTTGGGCCAATACATAGAAAATTTAATGTCGGCATCATCAGTTTTTCAGTCTACCACACCTAATGTACATAAGAAGTAAAGTGTGCAATACCTTAATTGCCTTGTTATTTAGGAAGACTGAGAAGAAAATGCTTGAAATGAATGACTTGTGGAATCTCATTATCTTTTTGGTTTAATCTAAAAGAAATAAACTTATATTATTTTTACTTTAACACCTCCAGGTAAATTTCTAAGAAATCTATTGTTAACTGTAAAGCCAGCGTATCCACAGTTGTTGAGGGATTAATAATTTTTTATAACCTTGATTCACTCAAACATTTCTTTTGACTAAAATAAAAAGTTTTAATATTTTTTGGATCAAAAAAATGTGAGACAAATTTTCAGTTTTTTTTTCTGATTTTTTATCTTGGCACTCACCAGCTTAATAACTGCTGCTATAAGAAAAGCAAATATAATGTGTGTGCTCAGAATAAAGCTTTGCAGTTTTAATATTCTATTTCACAATTATGGTGTTTGTAACAGATAGGGTGGGTAATTGTTAAAATATAACACAATTTATATTATTATATAACTATTTTGTATTAATTTTTTTAGTCTTACTTGTGACCATGCTTAAATGTGAAATACCTTGTGCAATGCATAGATCTTAAAAATAAGAAATAAATATTCAAGACCAATTATTGACAATTTTCTAGTTGATTCACTATTATAACATTCCATTCACATATTTGTTAAAATCAGATAACTCTCCTGTATTTAATAGAATCTAGTATAAATCATGTAATATTAAATATTTTTTTTGTCTAATAGCTTTAAAATATATTTATTGACTTAACGTTTTTATTTCATTATGTATCCTTTGAAACACAAGTACATTTTATAAAATGCCAAGAAAATAATATCGAGAATAATGGTTCAAACATTGTTCTAGTCAGATTCAATGAACATAAATGTAAACTATACATGAATCATGCTGGGGTTAGCGTGATGATCATGTCTGGGACACGTTAGTATATGACGCAAATTCATGAACCTAAAAAATCGTAGTTGTATGTTACTGGAGTTCTAAAAAAACGCATCAGGTGGCATTATACAAAAACTTGGACATGCAACACCCAGACGCCGAGCGCGTGAAACATTCGTGATCCTTGCGTGACGTAATTTTACTAAATGTTGTCAGTTTATCGTATCTCCCTAAATTGAGTCATTTTTATGATTATTGCACAAAATATGAAAATGATAAGTAATGATTACTAATGGTGCAATAATACACTATTGGCTGATTTCACCAACGTTAACTAGTTTAAGGGCTCCTCTTAACATGGTTAGGGGGCTGTTAGGAGTTTCTGTTTCACCGACAGTTAGGGGTCACCTAAATGTTAAAATGTCACCTAAATATAGGTACTAGAAATACGGGCTCTGACGATGGTAAAACGAAATTTAATTTAAGGGCTAGTTTAGGGGAACTTTTAAACGGATCCCATACGTAGGTGGTAGCTTATGGGATGTTAGTGAAATCGGACATATGACACCAGCTCTTTACTTATTATTTTTTCCTCTAAAGACTTTGTGTACAAACTATAAGTTATGGTAGATAAATAAAGAAAGGATTAAACTATTACATTTTTAGTATTGAAAAATATAACACCATATTCTGAGGTAAAATGAGATTTAAGAAATAAAGACCAAATAATTTACGATATAAATAGTAATTTTAAAGTGGCTGACATATGGGAAATTGTTGAATCGCAATATGAGAACACTTTGCGTCATCTCTTTTGCGCTTAGTGGAATCGATAGAATATTTATTCTATAGCTACCCTACTCACACCACATTTAATATTGCCCATTGGGAAATGTTAGTCGACTATTAACTGTAAAGCGAGTAGTAACTAGTACGTTGAATAAGATATTTCCTGTTGTTCATAATCATATATTAAAATGCCGAAAAAACTTAAAGTTGTGGTAAAATCTCTGTATTCTCATGAGATTCGAAAAGATGTGAGTTTGGAAAATTTAAAATCATTGAAACTCGAAGATGCTTGGCCATTTATCAGAGACGAAATCGAGATTGAAATTGGTAGCAGCCAGCTAGTTTGTATTCCGCATATTACCGAAGCCGATCTCTATAATATTACATCGCTTTTTGTGCCCAACGAAAAAGAAATAAACGGTAAAATGTTTACACCTCTTGGAGAACTGAAAAAGAATATAAATAAGGTGCAATCTAGCCCAGAATACGTCGATCTGCTGGAACAGGGTGACTTTCAAGAGAAAGATTTTAAGTTTCCTCATGAAAGTGTTAAGGTACTATGTTGTTTTCAGTTTTTACAAATAGACGCTATTTCTTGTTGTCCGTAAATACTTACCAGCTTTTTAACATGACTTTGAACTGTCTATGAGCCCGGTCAAAGGGTCATGCAGGTAATGCAGGATTAAATTAATAATAATTTTTTTATTATTCTAGATAACATTACAAGATGAATCAATTAAAAATAAAGTGAGAGTGATAATGGTTAATTTTAGTAGATGTTCGATACCTAAAGGAAAGGACTTTGTAAACAACATTTATTTGGATGTGGAAAACAATAAAGGTAAAGAAATAATATTTATTCAATATGATTAGAAAATATTATTATAGTTTAAATAGTATGTTTCCACACGAATCAGCTTTAATATATTTATTATGTGAACACTATTATGAAAATGTATATTGTTGAAGGATAATGTTAATATATACTTGTTGCTCTTCCAATGATTACCATATATTAGCATAATGTCAATAATCCACTTGCTTATATTGTTAAAGGTGATAACCGTGATATATTCAATGGAATTAAGACTTTTAAAACTATTTGTTTTGTAGCAAATAGGTACTACTCTTAGTTTAATAGTATTTTATTATATATTTTAAAACTCACTAGTAGTAGTAGTGCTTAAATTAATAAAATATATTTATATAGTATAGATTTCTCAGAGATATTTTCCTGCAGTAACCAATTGACCCGGATAACCAGCTATCATCATGCCAAATTTCATCAAAATCCCTCCAGTGGTTTTTTCATGATGCGGTTACAAACAAACAGATGAAAATTCTAAATACTATAGATATGGCCTCTGTATCAATAATAATGTCCATTTCAATAGGATTTTCCAAAATATATTTAATGTTCAGATTGAGCTTAGTTACAATTTTATTATATGTATAGATTTCATAGATGCGTTTTTCTTTTAGCTTTAAAGGGCAAAAAATCAGTATATATGATTACAAATGTATTGATGGCTAAAACAATTGAGTTTAGAGTAAATCAAGGCACTTCATCAAGAATCTTTCACCTTGGAAATGCTTCACCTCTAGTCTTTGGATTAGAAGAATATCTAATTGGTGATGATGGAAAGCTAATTGCTAAGGTAGGTTATATCAAATGATAAAGTCTCCATCTTTTATTTATTTTTAAATATAAGTTCCTAGGGAGTCGAGTTTCAATCAAACTCAAAGGGTGAGTTGCTATTTTATAAAATGAAGTAGTTATTTGATAAAATGTTAGTGTTTTATTGTGTTTATTTTTATCACAATGGATAATGGAAACAAACTACAAGGTTTTTCACTATTGTTCACTGTGGCATAGAAATGACTTTGTAGGTATAAAAATACATAATATGATACATACAACAACAACTTCTATTATAGACTACAAAACCTAGACTACCATATTTAAGATCTCTAGGTTTAAGTATATAAGATCTGAGTTCAGTCAAAGAGAAAGTTTATACTTTCTAGTAAAATATTAAACTTTTAAGTAAAACTTGATTTTTCGCAAAATATAAACTAAACCTTTATTTTAAGAGAACTTTCTAAATTTTTATCTTCATAATACATATGTCCTTTTTACATTGACTTTCAAATTGACATCCATTATTTAAGTTTTTCAGCCATTACCTTATTTACTTTTCATTGTTTATTTTTAATTACTTTACTATTTCTATAACAATTTTAAAAAGAAATTGATGTCCATTAAAACTTACAATTAATCTGATTCGAAAGTGCGTACCTTTTAATGTTTAATGAAGTATTACATGTACTTAACTATAGTTTCTAACTAAATATTGATTTATGATTTGTTATCAACTATATCAGTACATGAACTGATGTTTATAGAATTTATAACCGATTACAGGAAATTGAGTGTTTATTTTTGTTTAAATACTTCATAGATAATTTAGAAATTAAACACAACATTTTCATGGTTACATGAACGGATTTCATTCAAATTAATACTACCAATTATTTTATTTTTCCATTTTTACCACAAAATAATCCTACATAGATATCTATGAAAAGTTAATCATATGTACTAATAATTAAGATTTATTCAATCCTAGAGACTTACCCTCGCTTCATATATTTGGATAGATAATAAAAATGGTTATAGTGAGTGTGCCTTAGGAGATGGACATAATATGCTATTGCGGATTTTTACTGTAGGCCTTTTTAAGACCTTCAATTTTCTAGTACATTGTTTTGATGTATCTCTTAAAGCTTAGCCAGCGTTAGCCATGGCCCATGTTTTCTAAGGATGACTAGACAAAAATAATTCTGGTGTTTTCCCGCGGGAATGAAAGATTTTCCTGTACTTAAAGGTATCTTAAACGTTGGATTAATAAGTTACTACATAAAATTTACTTAAAATCCTTTCAGTACATATATTTTGCGTGAAACGAACATAGACATACAGACAAACAGACATACACACAAAAATTCCAATAACTATTATTTAGGGTCTATATTCTCCAATATGTAAGAGTCATTGTTTTTAAAAAATATTTCATGTACAGATTTTTTGTTATTATTATATTTATTTATGGATTTATATTATAAACGAGAGAGAAAAGAGACTTTTTCCCGCGGTAAAAAGTATCCTATATGTTGACCCGGATAACCAGCTATCACTATACCAAATTTCATCAAAATCCCTGCAGTGGTTTTTTTGTGATGCGGTAACAGACAGACAGTATATAGTATTGAATGGACTGTCCCCGTGTCCTCATGACACAAATGTTTGCATTGTTATTATCCGCGTTCGCGGAAGTTTCGACATAATATGAATAATCACAAAGCTGATATTGAGGAAGTTTAGTTTGGTTCGGTATAATAACTGCTCAAAAAAAATACATAGAAGTTTTTGTTTTGGTTGATAAGTATATATGCACGTTTGCTTAATAGTATTAACCAAACGTGCATATCTTTATATATATAATTCTTCTGTGAGTGTGTATGTCACTGAACTTCTCTCAAACGACTGGACAGATTTTGATGAAATTTTTTGTGTGTGTTCAAGGGGATCTGGGAATGGTTTAGATTCACAATTTGAATAATAATTTTCATCAAAAAAATTATTAAAAAAAGTTTGAAATTTTCAAATTAAAGACGTGTAGACAGGACAACGTCTGTCGGGTCCGCTAGTATTATATAATTCTTCTGTGAGTGTGTATGTCACTGAACTTCTCTCAAACGACTGGACCGATTTTGATGAAATTTTTTGTGTGTGTTCAAGGGGATCTGGGAATGGTTTAGATTCACAATTTGAATAATAATTTTCATCAAAAAAATTATTAAAAAAAGTTTGAAATTTTCAAATTAAAGACGTGTAGACAGGACAACGTCTGTTGGGTCAGCTAGTATATTATATATTTTTCATTACATTTTTTCTTTCAATAATTCTTACAAATTTGTAGTATTTAATATCTTTATATATTTAATATTTTATAAGTATACTAGCGGACCCGACAGACGTTGTCCTGTCTACACGTCTTTAATTTGCAAATTTCAAACTTTTTTTAATAATTTTTTCGATGAAAATTATTATTCAAATTGTGAATCTAAACCATTCCCAGATCCCCTTGAACACACACAAAAAATTTCATCAAAATCGGTCCAGTCGTTTGAGAGAAGTTCAGTGACATACACACTCACAGAAGAATTATATATATAAAGATAAAGATATTAAATACTACAAATTTTGTTATTTACAAAAGATTCACTTTTATATAAATTTTAGCAAGGTCTAATGAGTCGAAAGGATAATTATACACAAAAGTATACAGGTGTTTCTTTTAAATTATTTATTCATAATCACAATTTATAAATAGAAAAATGAAAATATACGCACTTAGAGAGCTTATACCTTAAGAGCATGGACGAATTAGAGACTGGACCTGACATAAAATACAAATGTATGAAAACTAGTTCAACCAAGTGACGCATAACGCACACAAAGATTTTATTACATTATTATAAACACTGATACACAATACAATATTTCTAGTGTTTGAACGTAATCGATAAAATACATATATCGATGAACCAATGAATGACATTTTAGACATTGGTTAGCTTAGTCATCATATTTTACATCTTTTAATTTATTCTTCTTCTTTTAATTTTAATAAATTAAAATAAATGAATTAAAGAGGCAATAATAATGTGTCAAATAATAATATTTTTTTTATTTGATTTATATAAATACGATGGCATTGATGGCAACATTCTGTTGGCCTATAATAATGTTAATGAACAAATGAATATCGGGTATATATTCCATTAATATATAAAAAATATTATTTTGTAAATATTAAAAAAATGTTAAGCTAATTTAATTAAATAAAGTGATTTTGTTGATTCTGTTATAGAACTATTTTAATTGGCAATTGATTGTCTCGGGTAGTTATAAAAATGTGACATTGTCGTAATATTGCTCAGTTATTAATAAACATTTGTGAAATTAGGAAAAAGAAAAAGTGATTGCAAATTGTGTAAAAGTGAGTGTTGGATCGTGAAAGTAAAATAATTAGTGCAAGTGGTAAAGTGTTTTATTACAAATCGCCAACCCAGAAGTTTAGTGCTAAAACATTATTGTTTGATTTTGTGTAATTTATGTGTTGAAATAAAATGATCTTTATTATTATTACAATGGAATATTATTCCAAAGTATATAAATGTGGTATAAAATAAAATAAAAAATTAAGTACACATACTAATTATAATTTTTGCATTTATATTTTTATTTGATTTAGAAAATATTTTTCAAATTTATTGTCATCAGATTGTAGGATACTGTGATAAAAGTATTTTATGTTATTGTACTGTACAAATAACACAATTCGTTCAGTTATTTCGTCAAATATCGATATATTTTTCGACATTGTCAAGCACTAGTCGATGTCAAATGGACTCACTCGACAGTTTCGTCATTTGTTCTGAATGGTATAATCCAGCCATTTTATGATGGTTGTCAGATGTCAACAATACATAGAAATATCGACTATATTTAACATAGTTGGATAATATGACATTTTATTTTACATTTAATTAAATTTTGTGATAAATAACGATAAATGTAACAAAATAATGTATTTACAAGTGAAAAGAAATAGTGCTGCTTCCGCCGTTATAGTTTTTACACCATTTAACAGAACATTTAGTCATTTTTGGGAGATGTTTTGTTGACAAGTAAGTGCTTGAGACTGACACAAAAAACAAACGACTTAGGCTAAAATTCCCTGGTTACTGACATGACCGTTAAAGGTAAAACGTTATACGTTTATACGTTATAACGTTTATACGTCCGCTTATATGTCTGGTCCAGTGGTTAATTCGTTCATGCTTAAGAGTATACATAAGCTATATGTATACTATATGGCTCGTAGATATAAAGATTGTTGCAATAATTATGTTACCCTACACAAATCGTTGTGTATCTAGAACTCTTATTTTCCGGTTTACGTAATTACGTATGGAAATTATTTTATAAATATAGCCAAAATTTATTAAAAAAGTGCAATTTTATCTACAATGTGTTGTTGCGTCTGTTTTTATCTTGTTAAAATATTTAATCATTCATAAAGAACACGAGCTTCAAGGGAAATTACTTGTTGGCTTATCTATGGACTATATAAGTACTTATAGCTCATGTATTTAATAGAAGTTTCTTCATTAATTTACATACCTACTCGTCGACTTATCACGTAGGTAATAACAACGATACAGTTGACTAATCACGTTCAGGTAAAAGAATGTTCAAAGAGGAAAACTGAACGGGGTTTTAATATTTTTCCATGAAAGCTTACATTAGTCATTTCGTTTTTATTTTCGTCAATGTAGCGGCGCATAATGAAACTTATAAGTACCTATAGAACACTTAAACAAAAGATATCAGATAAACATACAGTACGTATGTATGTATGTATATTATGTATACATATATTTACAGTGTCCTAATTGTCACGTTACAGTTGAAGTTTACAAGATATTAGGGCACTATAGGCAAAGAAAAAAAACGGACGCAAATAGGATATTAAAAATTTAATTAAATGTTTTGGTCACTTGGTATTTTACGTCCACATCAACATTC